TTGCAATCTGAACTGTGGCCAACTCCTCTAGTCCACCGAATGTTGTTGATCTTTTTGAGTTTACATTTTTTAAAATATCTTGTTCCTATGTAAGTACAGGGACAGATGTTTAATGTATGTCTCATTTCCCCATGAAGAGACCTCTGGCTTCTTTATGTGTCACAACCTCCAAGGCATAACGAAGACCTTCAAGTAGATAAGGATATCTCCCTCAAAGCGGGGGTGGGGGGATAGTATGTCCAGGACTTTCCTGGGAGAAGGCATAAGTGATTCATAAGGAATTTTCCATCAATCCCATATCCCCAAATTGTACAAATATTAAAAGTGCCCCAAATATGTAACGGGAGGAGGTGAAAACCAAAGGTAGCATGGCAGTCATCATGTGGCTCAGCTTTGCTGGATCTTTGTCAAGAAGCTGTGCTGGCTTTATGACTTCTGCCATTTCATTCAGCTATGGCTGTGCCAGTTTTAGTCTCCTCTTCCCACCAGGTCCTCCATTGTAACTGGGTTACAGCCTCTAGGACAGCTGTAACCAAATCTTTCCAGTCTTGAGGGATAATTCTATTACAAGTTGACCATGAGTTTAACATTTGCTTTACAAACAGAGAATGCATACCATTTGAGACTATAGCTTCCTTGAATTTCCTCAAATCTAACATTTGTACTGGAGTCCAGTCAGTTCTTACACAGCCTTGAACATTTGGCAGTTCCTATAAGGTTACTGGATAGATTGAGTTTGGCTGTTTTAAAGCCTTAAGTTCTTTCTCTGTAACCATATAATGGAATGCTGAGATAGGTTCACCTTGAAATTCTTTTGTCTGGGTCTGAATATCTTTACAGTCTGTCTTAACAAGTTTTTCTAAAACTTTTATTTTGGCACTCATATTAACCAACTCTTTAATGATAAAAAAGATCAAACAAAAAATATTCATAATTGACATTATGTAAATCCCATCAACACAAATTATCTTCTCATTTAATTGCTCCATTTTCAGACTGCCTAATGTGTTATCAAACAGAGACCAAATTCCCTCTATTGTAAAATTGTTTCCCATTTTTTAATGTAGGAAAAAATTGTTTTAATTAATTTCTCCCTTTAAGAAATCTTAATTGACTCACCAACTCTGCTGACTGCTTAGAACAGTAGAAGCCTGAGGGAGTTTCAAGGCAGCCACCTGGTGTGGTAGCAGTCTGAGATGGGAATCCAGAGAAAACCCACAACTCACCAGGAGAGAAGAAGCCAAAGAGACTCCTGCCTATGTAGGGTGGATACTCTGGCCGTGTGCAGCTGGGGCCTGAGCCCCAGGCAAGTGGCTTTTTTGGGAATTCGTGCCACAAACATTGGGTTACCAGATATAACAAAAATTGCTAAATGATCTTATTAATAAAAAACCCCACAGAACCAGATATTGGGGTGAAAGCTGAAAGACCAGAGGAATAGAACAAGCCAGCCATAAATTCTTAATGCTAGGAAATCCTCAGCCCAAGAGAGCTACTTCCTATATACTTACACCTATATACCTTTCTGTACCCTGCCATCTTACTTCCTCTCTCAGCCCAGTTACAGCACTTCATCTTTTAACCCAGCTTTGTATAGAACCTCAGACCTCTATGGTTAACTACTGCTGGGATTACAGGCATGTGCCACCACCACTCCTGGCTCTGTTACCAATGTGGCCTTGAACTCACAGAGATTCAGCAGAATCTCTGCCTTATGAATGCTAGGATTAAAGGCATGTGCTACCACTGCCTGACTTCTATGTTCAATATAGTGGCTGTCTTTGTCCTCGGATCTCCAGGCAAGCTTTATTTGTTAGAGCACAAATAAAATATCACCTTTGCAGGGTGATACACTACTTCAGAGTGAAAGGTTGGGAAGAGACTTTCCAGTCAAATGGACTTAAGAAGCAAGCTGATGTAGCTATCCTTTTTTTAATTAAGAAATTTTTATCCATTTTACTAACCAACCACAGATCCCCCTCTCTTCCCTCCTCCCATCCCTCAGCCTTCCCCACACAATCCACCCCACCATTCCCTACTCCAAAATATAAGGCCTCCCATGGAGAGTGATCAGAGCCTGGTACACTCAGTTGATGCAGGTCCAAGCACCTCCCACTGCATCAAAGCTGTGCAAGGTGTCCCACTATAGGTAGTGGGCTCCAAAAAGCCAGCTTATGCACCAGGGATGGATCCTGATCCTACTGCCAGGGGTCCTATTAATAAGATCAAGCCACACAATTGTCTCACTTATGTAGAGGGCCTAGTCCAATTCCATGCAGGTTCCACAGCTGTTGGTCTAAAGTTCATGAGTTCCCACAAATTTGGTTTGGCTTTCGCTGTAGGTTTTCCCATCATGATCTTGATGCCCCTTGATCATAGAATCCCTCTTCTCTTTCTTGGATTGGACTCCTAGAGATCAGCCTGGTGTCTGGCTGTGGATCTCTGCATCTGCTTCCATCAGTTACTGGATGAAGGATCTATGATGACAGTTAAGGTATTCTCTGATCTAATTACTGGGGTAAGCCAATTCAGACACCTTCTCCACTATTGCTAATAGTCTAAGCTTGGGTCACTTTTGTGGATTCCTGGGAACTTTTCTAGCATCTGATTTCTTCCTATCTCCATGATATCTCCCTCTATTATGGTATGTCTTTTATAGCTCTCCCACTCCGTCCCTGTTCCAGCTTGACCATCCGATTCTCTTCTATTCTCATAGTCCATCCACTGCCCTTTATTGTGCCCCCTTGACCCCAGGATTACTCAGGAGATCTCATCGATTTCCCCTTTGCAGGGTGATACATGCCTTCCTCTTAGGGTCCTCCTTGTTAGCTAGCTTCTCTGGAGCTGTGGGTTATCTTTAAGTCCTTTTAGTCTGGTTATCCTTTGCTTTACATCTAGTGTCCACTTATGAGTGAGTACATACCATGCTTGCCTTTCTGAGTCTGAGTTACTTTACTCAGGATGATATTCTCTAATTCTATCCATTTGCCTGCAATCCTCAGGATGTCATTGTTTTTTACTGCTGAGTAGTACTGCATTGTATATATATACCAGGTTTTCTTTATCCATTCTTCAGTTGAGGGGCATCTAGGTTGTTTCCAGGTTCTGGCTATTACAAACAATGCTGCTATGAACATAGTTGAGCATGTGTCCTTGTGGTATGATTGAGCATTCCTTGGGTATATGCCCAAGGGTGGTATAACTGAGTCTTTTATTTATTTATTTATTTATTTATTTGTTTGTTTGTTTATTTATCTATCTATCTATTTATTTTTTTATTATCAGCTTGACACAGTATAAATTCTTATCCTAATAGTGAAATATTTGATTGAGGCTTGCCCAGTAATTGAGTAAAACCAAAACTTATTGTAAGCCATAGTCATCCTAGGGCCCCCCTGCTATATAGCCTCCCTGGTTCTGTGGGTTGCAGTCTGATTGTTCTTTGCTTTATATCTAGAATCCACTTATGAGTGAATACATACCATGTTTGTCATTCTGAATATGGGTTACCTCACTCAGGATGATATTTTCTAGTTCCATCCATTTGCCTGCAAATTTCATGCTGTCATTGTTTTTCTCTGCTGGGTAGTACTCCATTGTGTATATATACCACATTTTCTTAATCCATTCTTCAGTTGACGGGCATCTAGGTTGTTTCCAGGTTCTGGCTATTACAAATAGTACTGCTATGAACATAGTTGAGCATGTATCTTTGTGGTATGATTGAGCAACAATTCTTCACAAACTTGGAAAGAAAAATACTCAACTTCATATGGAAAAACAGAAGACCCAGGATAGCTAAAAGAATCCTGTATAATAAAGCAACCTCTGGAGACATCATCATCCCTAACATCAAGCTCTACTACAGAGATACAGTAATAAAAAGTTTAGTACTGGTATAAAAACTGACATACAGACCAATGGAATTGAATTGAAGACCCTGACATTAATCCACACACATATGAACACCTGATTTTTTACAAAGAAGCCAAAACTACACAATAGAAAAAGTATCTTCAACAAATAACTGGGTCTTGAAGTAGATTGATTCCTAATTTTCTGAGAAGTCACCATACTGATTTCCAAAGTGGCTGTACCAGTTTGCACTCCCACAAACAGTGAAGGAGTATTCCCCTTGTTCCATATCCTCTCCAACATAAGCTGTCTTCAGTGTTTTTTATTTTAGCCATTCTGAAAAGTGTAAGATGGCATATCAGAGTCATTTTGATTTGTATTTCCCTGATGAATAAGGATGTTGAGCAATTCCTTAAATGTCTTTTGGCCATTTGAGAGTCTTCTATTGAGAATTCTGTTTAGTTCTGTAGCCCATTTTTCAATTGGATTGTTTGGTATTTTGATGTCTCATTTATTGAGTTCTCTATATGTTTTGGAGATCAGCACTGTGTCACATGTGGTGTTGGTGAAGATCGTTTTCCACTCTGTAGGCTGTTGTTTTGTCTTATTTACTGTATCCTTTGTTTTACAGAAGCTTCTCAGTTTCAGGAGAAGTCCCATTTCTTAATTGTTGCTCTCAGTGTCTGTGCTACTGGTGTTATATTTACAAAGTGGTCTCCTGTGCCAATGCATTCAAGGCTACTTCCTACTTTCTCTTTTATCAGGTTTCATGTTACTGGATTTATGTTGAGATCTTTGATCTACTTAGGCTTGAGTTTTGTGCATGGTGATAGACATAGATCTATTCTACCTGTTGACATCCAGTTAGGCCAGCACCATTTTCTTGAAAATGCTTTCTCTTTTTCCATTGTACAATTTGCCTTCTTTGTCAAAAATCAGGTGTTCATAGGTGTGTGGATTGATGTCAAGGTCTTCAATTTGATTCCATTGGTCCACATGTTGGTTTTTATGCCAATACCAAGCTGCTTTTATTACTATAGCACTATAGTAGAGCTTGAAGTCAGGAATGGTGATGTCTCCAGAAGTTGCTTTATGTAGACAAATTTCTAAACAGTCTTATTAAATAAGAAACACAGAGCCAAATATAGGGGTGAAAGCCGTAGAGATCAGGGAAATAGTGAGAGTCACCAGCTAACCTTAGATCACCACACTGCTGTAGCTTCCCAAAAGAGAGAGCTACTTCCTGTCTACCTAGGCTCTTATTGCCTTGCTGTTCTGCCCTCTCATTGGCTCTTAGCCCAGCTACCTCACTGCCTTGTCACTGCCTGTCTATACAGACCTCCAGGTCTCTATAGTTGGTACTGGGATTAAAGGCGTGTGTCACTACACTTCGTTGTTCCCTAGTGTGTCCTTGAACACACAGAGACTCTGCTTGCGGTGTGATCAGATTAAGGGCATGTGCTATCACTGCCCGACTTTTGTTTATAGCTAGCTATGTCCTCTGATCTCCAGGCAAACTTTATTTATTAACATGCAAATAAAATATCTCCACATTTCAGCACAAATAAAATATAACCACAGTTTTAGCTATCCTGTGTTTTTTGTTTTTCTATATGAAGTTGAGTATTGTTCTTTCCAGGTCTGTGAAGAATTGTGTTGGGATTTTGATGTGAATTGCATTGAATCTGTAGATTGCTTTTGGTAAGATTGACATTTTTATTATGTTGGTTCTACCTATCCATGAGCATGGGAGGTCTTTCCATTTTCTGATACCTTCTTCAATTTCTTTCTTCAGAAACTTAAAAAGTTCTTGTCATACAGGTCTTTCACTTTCCTAGTTAGAGCTACCCCAAGGAATTTTATATTATTTGTGGCTATTGTGAATAGTTATGTTTCTCTGATTTCTTTCTCAGCCCATTTATCATTTGTATATAGGAGAGCTACCGATTTTTTTATTTTTATTTTTTTAGTTAATCTTATATCCTGCCACATTACTGAAGGATCAGCTGTAGGAGTTCCCTGGTAGAATTTTGGGGATCACTTATTTATACTATCATATTGTCTGCAAATAGCGAAAATTTGACTTCTTCCTTTCCAGTTTGTATCCCCTTGATCTCTAGATACATCAACTTCTGCACTAGCTTTGAGGACACCAACTGTGTGAGGATTGGCAGGGAAACAGCAGATGTGGTGGCTCAAGTACTACTAATCATTCCTAGATTTGGCCAGCCACTCCCATACAAATGGACAACGGGCCAGCCTTCACTTCTAGGGTCATGGAGCTCCTGTCAGAAGCTTGCAACATTTCCTGGAAGCTCCATATTCCTTACCTCACCCAGTCCTCAGGAAAGGTTGAGAGGCCAATGGACTCATAAAACAACAGCTCACTAAGCTCTCCATTGAACTCAGGTTGTCTTGGCCTTTCCTTCTCCACACGGCCCTTACTCACCTATGGGCCACCCCAAGCTCTCCTACAGGCCTGAGTCCTTTAGAGCTCCTTTACAGAAGGCCCTTCCTCCTCAATCACAACTTTCCAGCCCAAACTCCCCCACTGACTGGGTACCTCCCCTACCTCTCCCTTCTGAGGTCCCTTCTCTGTTCACATGCTGACAGCTATCTCCCTGCTGCAACACCAACACACCCAACTGCCCCTGAGCCTGCTCTACTCTTCCTGGGGGACAGAGTACTCCTCAAACAGCTAGCTCCTAAATCTCTTTGGACCCAATGGATAGGACTTTATACTGTGATCCTCATCAACTCCTCAGCTGGCAAGCTCCTGGGACATCTCTGCTGGTGCCATCTCTCCAGGTTCAAGCAGGCACCTATTCAGGATACATGGTCTGTCCAGCAGCTGGGACCCTCCACCCTCCTGACTTCCCAAATGTCCCAATGAAGGGCCTATCTGCTCTTACACCTTGTGCAAATAGGACAGATGTTAATAATCTATTTTTCCCTAGCAACTTACTTTCTCTGCTTCCTCAAGAAACAGATGCCTGAGGTTTCCAAGATAACAATTAACCAGATGCTCCTCTACTCACACCTCCTGATGTGAGTCCACCAACTACCAACTTCTCCAGTCACCTCATGCCCACAGGAAGTAGCCAGACTTGAACCAATGCCCCTATACCCAAAGAGTCTGGAATATCCTGGTGGAAGCTCCACCTCAGCTCCTGGCACCCTGGCATCCATATACCCAAAGATTCTGGAATGTTCTGGTGGGCCTCCACCACTCTGCCAGAGCCTGCTGCCCAGAAAGTCCCACCAAACATGGCTACTCCCCCAAAGATGTGCAAGACCACTCCCTCAGGGTATTTAAACTGCCCCCCAAAAAAGACATGTAGTTTTTCAGTCCCTGTCTCCTCTCTGAGGGAGCCAGAGAATCATCTGGGAACACTTCACCCATTAAACTGGGGCTTATTCTAATTTGGTCTGATTTGCTCTGATTTGGATTGCTGCATCAGCAGAGCTTATCAGGGTGCAAAAACTTTTCACAGATCTTTAATTTTATGGCCATTGGATTACATTTTTTTCCTTATTTATACATTTGATTGTATGTTTCAAGAAGCCTGTTCACTACTCCATTTTTTTTTTTTTTTTTTTTTTTTTGCAATGGAAAATCCCGTTTTTGGCAACAAGAGACCAGTTGAAGGGTATGCATGGAATTGTAAATTCTGTGTTTCAATTTCAAACTATAAACTCCCACAGCTTCTATTTTTCTTATACAACCAGACACTTGAAGTGGGCATCAGTGAGAAAAGGTAAAGATAAATATGACTTGCTGGTCTGTAGTCACATGAGCTAATACGTTTCCTGTATTTGTCTTCCTCAACTCCCTGGTTCAGGCCTGAGGGTAGAGGGAGTTAGACTATGACAAAACATAAGACTCATTAGTAGTAGAGAGACAGGGAATGGAAGGACTTGGCCCCAATGAAACTTAACTTTAATGGTTCCATAGTCTGGGAGACAGTCCATTTGATGGCATCTATGGCTTTCACTTTCTTGACCTGTGTGTGGTGAATCTATGGTGTAATGCCAGATATTACCACAGCCATAGGAGTAGGGAGAATCACCATGTAGGGTCCTTTCCTTTCCAAGTTGCTTCCAGAACCCCTTTAGATATTTGCTTGACCCAGATAATTCACCAGTCTTGAACAAAAGGAAACTGGTAGTGGACCTGTGGACTTGCTGGTAGGCAACTCTCTTGTATTGTATGATGAATAACCTTTATGGAAGACTGGAGAGCCTGTAGTGATGAGAAAGGAATGGTTAGGGAGTTCTTAAGCTGCTGGTCTCTGGGCCAGAAAAACAGTGGGGAAGATCTTCCAAACCCAGTCTCACATGGGGAAAATCCCTGCCATATGGGGTGCAGTGGACCCCATGTGAAGCAAAGGGAAGGAGATCAACCTGCTCTTTGCCACACTCTAATGAGTTTTGTTAGTTTATGTTAACATCCTCTTCATTCTTGCTTCTTGCTCAGAATTGAGGTCTATATGCACAATGAAGTTCCCAAGCTATCCCTTAAAACTTTTTCTATAAATTGGGAGATTTGGGATATGAAACTTGGGCCACTGTTGGAAACCACTGCTGGAGAAGGATGGAGGACCAGTTCTGTGAGTTTTTAAAGCTATAACGTGTGCAGTTACAGTCCAGGTAGGGAATGTTTCTACCTACCCAGGAAAGTTGTCTACAAAAATTAGCAAGAACCTGCATCCTCTTCTGGCAGGGTGGGTCTAAGTGAAGTCAGTTTCCTAGAGTTTGCTGGGTTGCTGGCCTCTCATTCAAACACATTCCTGGGAAAGGGCTCTCTGTTTTGTTTTTACTTGAGCACAAACCTAGCATCTGGCTGAGACATCCCAGTTTTGCTTTCTCAGCTGAGGTACCTGACAGGGAGGTTAACCTTACAGGTTTCTGTTTGGATGTAGAAACCTTTTGTTTACCATGCTGGGGAATGAACTGACACTCCCTGCTCTAAGGGGCTAGTTGAAATGCTCTGGCAGAAGACTATGGGGAACAAGGGAGCTGTCTCCAGGCTTTTCTGAGGAGGTGCTTAACATTATGTTCACAACTGGGTAGAAAAGGGGCAAGGGCTATTCTCAAATAAGAGCAGGAAGATAAGAACAAGTGTCAGGGCAGGAACAGGGCTTGGTCCTGGGACTCAGAGTCTGATTGATTATTTCCTTCTTGAGTCTCAATCAGAGCAGAAGCCAAAGGAAGTCCCATAGCAGAAGCAGATTTCTTTACTGACCTCAAAGTAAACTGAAGCCATCCAGAGCTTCAAACTTACCTGGGAGGCCCTGACTCCTTACACTAAAGAGGAATAGAGCTTTGATGTCAAAGTAAAATAGTACTTCTGAGGTCTTTAAGTATCTTTGTTACAAAAAAAGTGTTTTTTCTCAATACAATACATTCAACAATACATGGTTGAAATTTAAGAAGTGTTTCACACATCAAAAGGTTCCATTGGACACATTCAAGTAAAATCACAAAACATCCAAGGTAAACAATGACAGAGCCAAATATATGACTTGGTAAAAGTTAGAAGGTTGTTTATTCAGCTGGGGTAGCAGTGGTGGTGCACACCTTTAATCTCAGCACTTGTGAGGCAGAGGCGAATCTGGTCTACAGATGGAGTTCTCCAACAGCCAGGGCTATACAGAGAAACCCCATCTCAAAAAACAAAAAAAAAAAGTGGGAAGAGAAAAATTATTCTGTATCCAGAAGAACCATTGAGGAATCTTCACCTCTAAAGAAGTGAACTGAAAGCATCAGATGAAATTTATGAGCAAGCTGAGTGTTTACTCAACACTGGAGGCAGATGGACCATTGAGTTTCAATGGTGCCATTAATGGCTACCTGCAGAGGCATTGTGTACCCAATGCAAAACAATCAAGGTCATGCTTCCTATCACTGCCAGTCAACACACACACTAAAACAGAGCCTGCAAGAAGCAGAAAAAACTTATCATCATGGAACCCTAAAATTACAGCAGTTACAATAGTTACCTACCTTAATGTAAACTATTTTAAGTGATGAAATAGTTATTTGTAGCACAAAAAGCCTATAGTGTCAAAGCCTCCTGAGATTCTATAACTTTTCATTCTTTTTCTCCCAAATGAAATGTTTTCCTGCTGAAGCACATGGAATTGGAGTAGCATTTTGTGTACATAATGTATTTTAGAGGAAAAATTAGGTCACCAACACAAGCCAAAGTTCTATCATTGGATGGAGCATGGATGTGAATTTTCTTCTGTGATATAGCCATTCATTCACTTGGAAGTAATTCCTAACTCACATCCCTAAAAGTAACTCTCGTCCTGATAATACTATTGGGAAGGGATAACAAAGTGTGGTCAGGCACTGAATCCAATGGTATTTCAGAAGAGCTGCCAGGTAACCATGGCAGCAGGAATCCCAAGTCTTACTATTTGTTGTAAAAATAATAAGAGGCAAATTATTCTGAGAATGGTTAGTGAAATGTGTTTGTTACTGTAACTACATCTGAAGCATTGCATTGCACCAGGGATTCTGAATAAGAATTCCCTGATGCTTGCTGTATGTTCACAATATCAGCAATGATGACTCATAGACCAACATCATCCTCCTAAGGTGGTAGTCCCAAAGGGGATGGGTGGTTCCAAGAATTGGAGAAATCCTGACTGGGAGGGCAGTTCTTCCCATGGTGGCAGTCCTGGAGGTCATGAAGGTTGGCTTGGCACATTTGACAATATTGTAAGTACAAGGTAAATGTTGTGATTTCATATAGAGAGAAGATTAGGAGGAACAGTAATGACAATCAAATTAAAGAATTTACTCATACCTATCACAATCCCTGTAGGTTATATTTTACACCCTTTGACTAGCCATATCTTTACTTACATTTGGCTAAAATTTGACAGTCTTTCAAAATGTAAACACTTAACCATTTAGTTATAGAGGGAAGTTATCTAGACAATAAATATCATGTGTGATAAACCTATTGTTACCTTCATACCCAATAATGAAAACTTCAAAGCTTTTCCTGTGAGGCCAAGAATAAGGCAAACATGCATACTTCTGCCATAAAAATTTATAACAGTACTAGAAGTCCTAATGAAATCAATTAGACAAGAAAATGAAATAGGAGACTGCTAGACTCTAAGGTGAAGACACAATAACTTTGAACACAGGACATAAATCAAGCTGCAATTGAGCTGAAAGCTTCATCTCTGTTGGACAGTATCTGTATTGCCAGAGGTGCTAAACAAACTGCTGTGGAGAAAATTTATCAATGCCTTTCCTATCTGTGGATCCTGCATTCTACTCTAGCAGTCTCAGTCAAGGTGTGCCCATTGATAAAACAGACATGACTGTAACCAATATGGGGCTGGTTATATGCAGGTACATGACTGGTGCTGTGATCTGATCTCAAGCTTATGGCTGAGAATATCACAGGCACTGATATCATAGGTAAGGGAAGAATTTACTAGTGATGTTTCATTAAATAATTAAATTGACACACAGCCCAACTGCCTTCTAAATGTATATATTTATACCCAATGACTAATGTTACCCTAATCCTGAGTCAGAGAAGCTTTGTCTTACACAGGACAACAGTTAATGAGATTCATAAATAGTATACTTGCTCAGAATAAGTGAATGATGAGTTTTCAGCCCTAATTAGGATGTCTATATCTTCCCTTCTGAAGCCCAAATAATGCAGAAAGATTGTAAGAGCTAGAGAGTAGTGAGTAGTGAGGGGAGCTGTGGAGCACTGTCTTCTGGATATGACCTGGCAATTGCAATCATGAACACAGCTGTGGGGCTACCTAGATTAAAAAAGACCTACATTTTAAAAAAGACATGCAAGTAGTGGGGATCTAGTTGTGAAGAAGAGAGTGGGAGGGGACAGGAGAGGATAAGTGGATGAATATGAACACAACACATTCTATACATGCATGAAACTGGAAAAAATTAAAAAAATAAAGGGCCATACAGATAAGAAAATAAGTGTTTTTTGTTTGTTTGTTTTTTTACTGATAACATGCTCTTCAAGCTAGAAAAATTGTAAAATCTATACTAAAAATCAGGCAGGACTAATAAATTTCAGTTAAGTTGTAACATTGAAAGCAGCACCCATAATTTGTTCTCAAGCACTGATGAAAGATCCTATGAAAAATAAATTAAGAAAATGATTCCATTTCCAAAGGCATCAACTAGAATAGAATATTTGGGAATGGATTTAATCAAAAGGTAATAAATAAGCCTTTGTTTTGAAAACTATATGGTTAATAAAAGAAATTTTAGAAACCAGAAAAAAGTGAAAAGATACATAATATAAAAAGATGGGAAAAAGACATGTAGCTTAGGCTGCCTTGTACTCACTATGTAGCCAAGGATGACCTTGAACTTCTCATCCTCCTGCCTCTGACTCCTAAGTGCTGGGGTTACAGGTGTGTACCACCATGCCAGTTTATGGAGGATCAAACCCAGGGCTTCCAGAATACCAGGCAGATACTCTACCAACTGAGCTACAGAGCCCAGAATAGATGTTTGAAAACACATGGAACTAGAATCTCTATAGATAAATCCTCTGTTTGGTGATCTTATTCTTACCAGGCAGATACTCTACCAACTGAGCTACAGAGCTCAAAATAGATGTTTGAAAACACATGGAACTAGAATCTCTTTAGATAAATCCTCTGTTTGGTGATCTTATTCTTATTTTACCAGTACTAGGATTTGATACTATGGCTTCATGCAAGTTATGCATCTGTTTGACCACTAAGCTCTATATATCCTCAAGTTACTTCTTATTGTTGCACTTTGAAAAAAAAAAAATAGAGACAGAGTCTTACTAAGTTGCCCAGGCAGATCTTGAATTTTCAACCTTCTGATGCTAAACCTGAATATATGAGGAGAAACATCAAATCCATGACTGTCCAATCAAAGCAAGCTTTATTTTAGAGGTACACCGGGACTCGCCACCTCACCCAAGCAGTCTTAACCTAAGTTGGGATTTGAGAGAGCAGCCCATTACTGGTTTTTTGGGATGCCATTTGTGGGGAAAGATTATGTTAATGGAAAACAGTTGTAATTGTGTTTACAGGGCCAAGATAATTGGTTATTAGAAAACATACAATGAAAGTAAGAATGAAAGCATTATCATGTGGAAGTCACACATTATGGGGCAGATCACCAGGAGTAGAGATCACAAAACTGAAAACATTTTGTAAGGCAAAGAGCAGTCATACATCATGGGGTCAT